CCAAATTCTCCAATTATACTACACAAGATTCAAAGAATTCTTCACAGAACAGTATCTGGATACACCTCCCCCCCTAGATGCAGGGGTAGGCCTGCACTTTTGTGTCACTTTGCTGAGTTGATACAGTGAGTGGAAGGGGAATTTCATAAAGTCATCTACACTGGGAGAGCTAGCAATAACTTAACTATGCATGCAAGTGGCCGAAAAACACATTAATATATCCCACTAAACCAAACTAAATGTATCTCCAAATTTACATCCTCTTAGCAGAATCCCAAAAGGTTCATAGCTATGAACCAAGGGAACATGACCCCAGGGAAAGTTGGGAAGGAAAACGACAGTTCTCTTGATTGATTGTGGTTAAAATACCATTTTGAAAACTTTATGAAAATGTATAATCATGTGAACACAAAGATGGAGACCCTCCCATGTCCTTAAAATGGGCCTCGTTGGTGAGGGGCCTTTGCAGCTCAAGCTTCATAAGTTTCATGGTCCTTGTGCCCCTGCGCACTGGCCTTTGTGCCATCCCTGTGCAAAGACAGGGAGACAATCAGCAAGGTCATTATTCAATGTGAAGGACTGGGATTGATCGAGTGGTCTGAGGGAAAGAATATTAATTTTGTAGGGCTGCTATGACAAAGCACCACAAACTAAATGCCATAAAACAACAGAAATGTATTGTCTCACAGTTCTGGAGGCTGGAAGTTGGAAATCAAGGTGTCAGCAAGACCATGTTCTCTCCAATGACTCTAGGTAAGAATGCTTCCCAGCCTCTTCCGGCTTCTGGGGGGTTTCCCAAAATTCTTGGCTTGCTTGGCTTATAGAGGCCTCACTCCAACCTCTGCCTCTGATATTGCCTGACCTGTGTGTGTCTGTTTCTGTGTCTTTTCTCCTCTAATAAGAACGCCAGTCATACTGGATTAAGGGCCCACCTAATTACTGTACTTACGTGAAATACAGTAATCGGCGCATATTCAAACTGTGAACTGAATCAGATTTGACACATGTGTATACCCTTGCCCCACTTTAATTTTCTTCTTGGCATTTATTACTATCTGGTTTGTTTGTTTGTAATCTGTCTCCACCACTGGACTATAAATTCCATTAGAATAGAAATACTATACCTTTTGGGCTTAGAATAGTAACTTATCGACAGGAAGTACTTAGTGAGTAGTTGTTGGATGGATGGATGGATGGATGGATGGAAGGAGGGAGCGGAGGCCAGTTATAATAATAGGAATACAGTGTCAGAGACAGGCTAAGCAGAATGGCTGACTTTATGTGGGAGCTGGAGTCCTAAGTGGCTTTCTTTATGGTATTTTACATCCGGATTAGTCCAAGAGCAGGGAAGCTGAATGAGTTTTCTCCTGCATGCCAATCCCAGGCCATTGGGTAGAGCTGCCTGGAACCCTCTGAGGAGGCCTCTCAGGTTGCAATGTTCTGGGCCTAGTAGAAATGAAGGTGGTGATCCATTGGTGATGTCGATCTTGGGTAGAAAAGTGGGAGTAGTGGCAGGCATATTCGCCGTCCCTTTCCTAGAAAATATTGTGGAGCTGAACCTGCTGGTGGGAGTTAAATTATCTCAGCTGTGGAAGGAAGCAAGCCACAGAGGCTGGGAGAAGGCAGGACCTGACAGTAACATTTCTGAAATGCCATTTACCGCCTGTGCTGGCTGTGATTACACTAAGGCTGACAGTTCTGTGATTAAATGCACTGAGCTTCGTCTGAATGGGCTGCGGGCTCCTGGCTTTTTTTCCTGTTGATTTTCAATGGGCAATAATAACACTCTGATAACTTCTACATAGGAACAGGACTCAGGGCGCCAGAGGACTTTCATGCCCTTCACCGGGCTTGTGTTCCCGTGACAATGGCCACATTCACTAAATTAGGGCTTGTGCTGGCCCCCTTTTCATTCCTCAAGTATGATTTCCTTTTCAACAGATGGCTTTGAAGCAAAGCACCTGGAGTCTGATGAGGCCTCATCTGACAGTAATTGAAGGGAAAGCCTGCGCCTTCGAGCTGTGACGCCTGCTGCAATTCAGCCTTGTTACAGCAAGCCGAAAGGCTAAGGGGTCTGCCATTAACATCAAGTGTCTCTTCCAAAATCATTTTCTATTTGTCCAAGACTGAGCGTCTCTTTCTCTATTAGAAAGAAGAGAGCCACTTTCCTGCAGCCATATTTAAAGCCTGGATGCTGCCTAATATTCTGTAAAATCTTGGGATTTGAGTAGCTCAGAAGCTGAATCAACACAATATAAATGAGGTGTTTAACTTCTCAAGGCTTTCTCCCAAAGTCTGGCAGTCTTTCCAATTGGATTTCACTGGTATTTGCAACCCTTTCATGTATGCAGTGACCAGGTTTGGGGATTCTGTCACCCTTGGTATTGCCATGACGACACCCAGACCCACACTGGTGTGTGTGTAGAGTGTGTGTGTGTGTGTGTGTGTGTGTGTGTGTGTAAACTCATCTACATCCATATCCACTTTTAGGCCTTTTTACTATCTTTCAATACATATCTATTATATTTTCCATAAAGTTTTTTGGATTTATTACTAGTTACCTCTTATTTGGGGGTGCTATTATGATCTTTAATCTCATTTTATAAATGTATTGGCCATGACGACCCAGACCCACACTGGTGTGTGTGTAGAGTGTGTGTGTGTGTGTGTGTGTGTGTGTGTGTAAACTCATCTACATCCATATCCACTTTTAGGCCTTTTTACTATCTTTCAATACATATCTATTATATTTTCCATAAAGTTTTTTGGATTTATTACTAGTTACCTCTTATTTGGGGGTGCTATTATGATCTTTAATCTCATTTTATAAATGTATTGCTGATCAATATGAATTCAATTGCTTTGTTGCTGTTTTGATTCTCACTTTTGCTGATTGTTTAACCAGCCACTTTGCTAAACTTTCTTATTAATTGTAATAATTTATCTGTTGATTCCTTTGGATTGCCTATGTAAACTATTATATTCGATTAGTATCACTTTTAAGGTCCTTTTATTTCTATCCTACTTCCTCCCCTTACTGAACCAATTAGGACTGCTATTACAACATGAAATAGAAGTGGAGGTGGTAAGCTCTCTAGTTTTATTCCAAATATTAAAGGAAATATTTTCAATACTTCATTATTTGTGATACTTGCTGTTGGAGTGCTTTCAGATTTTTTTTTGAAATGTATGAAGTTTCTTCCTATGAGAAATCTAATGTTCAGCCATATCTAACATATTATTAAACACATACAACTTGTATGTTAATTTCAATTTTTATATTTATCATTTTCAGTTCTAGTTTGTTCTGTTTCAAAGTTACTTGCCTGTTATTTCTAGTGCTCATATTTTCAAGCTTTTCTTATATCAATTATAGTCAGGAATGTCTAGAATATCTATAGGTCTGTTTCTGAAGTCTGTTTTTATCTGGTGGTGCCTTATAACCTTCTGATTCTTTTACTATGAGACACTCATTTTTCTTCGCAATTTGTCTCTGGGAATCATTTGAGGCCTGGGAAGACGGATGGGCTCCTCCAGAGATGATTAAGTTAGCTTCTACTAATGCTCCTGGTCGCACTATCATTTTCAGTCTAACTTTAAATTAAATGCTTGGTTCAGTGTTCTTTAAATTAAATTCTTTGTTCAGTTGCAATCCTATATTAACTCAGGCTTCCAATTAGCATGTGAGGTTGAGCTTATGACTAAAAATTCTGAGAGAACTTGTTTTTTCCTCTGATTAGTGCCAAGTTTTGAGACAAGTAATTTTTTCCACAGTCTCGAATAAGAGGAAGAGACTAGTCTTTTAGTTCCCCCACCTTATTACCCTGAGCTTTCTCCTGTCTCTTTTTCCTATAAGTTCATGAAAAAGACACAATACAAATATTAAGTTCACCAGGATCAGCAACTCTACACAAAACGTCATAAACCCTCCTGGTTTTTTCAGTAAGTTAAACCATGTCCTCCCCATGCTTCTACAAGTTACTGTGTTGTATACCTTAAGAGGTGAGAGTGTCTGACATTGTCTTTTCAGTTTAGTAATTTGACTCAGAGTCAAAGATAGTATACTCATTTCAATGCTTAAACCACCACTCTAGGGCTTTATCACTAAATAGAAAGGAATAGGCCCTTATGACAGTTGGGACTGGGGAGACGACTGTGATACTGGCAATATGCTTGGCAATGTCGTCGAAGAGAAAAGCCTAGACCAGTGGTCGGCAAACTGCGGCTCGGCAAACCGTGGCTCGCGGGCCACATTCGGCTCTTTGAGTGTGGCTCTTCCACAAAATAACGGCTCTTCCACAAAATACCGACTTCTGCGCATGGGCCACGAAGTTTCAATTGCACTGTTATGTGCGCGCCTGCACGTGGTATTTTGTGGAAGAGCCACACTCAAGGGGCCTAAGAGCCGCATGTGCTCACGAGCCACAGTTTGCCAACCACGGGCCTAGACTTTAGCTTTCTGAAGTGAAGCCTCTTTATTTTACAAATGAGGAAATTAATGATCAGAGATGCAATGTCATATAATAGATCATGCAGCTAATAGATGTCAGAGTCAGGGCCAGACATAATCTAACTTAGCTTTCATTCCTCTTAAAACAGTGTCTCCCAAACTATATTACGTGAAATAATAGTTTCACCATGAATTGCTCCCCAAAGAGTTCTTTGATCAAATATAGTTAGGAAATTTGGCATCCTAGTACTCCCTCTTGGAGACTTGCAAAGCACATAACATACCCCAGACTCGGGGACATTGTGAAATAAACAATTTTGTTTAACTATCAGACTCAGGGACATTGTGAAATAAACAATTTTGTTTAACTATCACTTCCCAAAGTAACTGAACCAAAAAAAAAAATCGTTTTCTACAGAGCACCTGTTAAAACTGTACTTTGTATTCCCCAAAGTGATTTAGGAAATGTTCTGATGAAAAGTCATCTCCGCCATTTTCTAAGTAGCATGAAACTCTGTGCAGTCGTTACACCCCGACAAAACAAAGAGGATCCTGTTGCACATGCTGTTTTATTACATCCTATGTGAAGTTATCATGCTGGAAGCATACATCAAAAATGTCTCTCTCATGATGGCTTTGAACCTGCAATTATACAAATAAAAAAAAATATTAATCTTAGTATAACGGATTAGAGAGGACTTCCACTTCCAACTCTGATGGAGTATCCTTTATCAAACTCCCCACCTAGGAACAACTATAAATGCTTGATAAACTATTACAAAACAGCTGCTTAAAGATGGCATCAATCAATCAAGGCCGCCCAAAGTTGATAGGCCAAGACCCCAGAGAGAAGAGAAGGGCATTTCCATGAGCCTCACCTTCTTTCCTTCTGATTTGTAAATAAAGTAGGGGCAGGGGACAAGCAGAAAGTAACCTCTCAGAGCTCTTGGTAGTTTCATGGGGCGACAGAAATAAAAGTCGGAGTTTTAGGTACCAATAAATCAGTGCCTAAAGTCTTAAGAGTCTGAAGGAAAGGAAACTACAGATAAGTGGACCCAATATTCTGTCTGTGTGGATTGTCTAATGAGATTTTCTAATGCTGATTCTCAAATTACACTATAGGCAAAGCAACAGCTATGAGGTGAAAAGTTAAACAGAGTCCTTAGGAATTTTTAAAAAGATATCATCAAAGTCATTCAGTACCTATAAATCTAATAAAGAACAAAAAATTTTAAAGACCTAAACAAATTGAAGAATTCCTACCCACTTACCAGAAATACCTGCTTTATACTTATATAGCGGTCGGTGGAAAATAAACTTCTATTTGCTACGCCAATGAAATTTAGGGATTTATTTGTTACAACAGCTAGTGTTATTCTAACTTAAAAGCTTGGCTGAACGTGCATGCCAGTATAACATAATTATTTCAAAGATCAATTAACTAACTATGAGATTTTTATTAGGTTTCATTTCAGAGTGGGGTTTTTTGTTGTTGTTTTTTATGAGATTTTTAAATGTTTTTATTGATTTTTAGAGAAAGAAGAAGGGAGAGGGATAGAGAGATAGAAACATTAATGATGAGAGAAAATCATTGATTGGCCGCCTCCTGCATGCCTCCCACTGGAAATCAAGCCCACAACCTGGGCATATGCCCTGACTAGGAATTGAACCAGCGACCTCTTGGTTCATGGGTCAATGCTCAATCACTAAGCTACACTGGCTGTGCAGCATTTCAGAGTTTTAACTGAAAATTCGCCTCTCTTCAGCTTGCACCCTGCGCACTTCAGAATTCCAGAGGTGGTTTTCCTATTTGTCAGGCCTAAGAGATTGGTGGAGCCAAATTGGTCCCAAGAGAAGTCTCGGGTCCAAGGCAGGAAGCCTGGGAAGAAAGCCTCTTTCATCATATTCTGTCCTTAATCTCCAAACAGTCCAATTAGGGGTAGAGATCAGAGATGAGTTTGCCACCCCTGCCCAGTGGTGCTTCTTAGAATAGCTGCTCTGACCTCTGTTTCTGGTGAATGGGCAAGCTGACGGCGTGGTTCTTTCCCCTTCCCAAGCTAGGTGGGTATGTGACCCAAATCCAGCTGATTTATGGGTTTGTCAGGCACAAATTAGATTCCTGGGGTGGAAGATCATGCAGATCCATTTTAAGCCACATTCATGCTGCAAAGTAAACAGGAGAACTAGTCTATAAAGAAGCCAGAGAGTAATCCTCATTATCTGGAGAAAACCTGGGGCCAGAGAGCATTTGGAGAGAGAGAATATAGAGACTACCTGACAGTTTTCCACTCCCTCGGGTGCCTCGTTATTCTTCCTACAAAGGAGTCCCTTGAGATGCCTATCGGCTTCCAATAAATTCCCTCTCATTTGTGCTAATTTGAGTTGGCTTCTGTTGTTTGTAGCCGATAGCCTCTGATTGAGACAGAGAGGGTTATGACAGTAGTTGGCCGGGAGTCTGAAGAAGAGATGAGTCCTGCCTTCCCTCAATTATCCTCCTGTCAGAGTATAGTTCTCAAAATATTAAAAACCTAATTTTCATATAGAGAGGTAAGTAAGCACATGTCACAGTGTTATTCAATTCATGAAGGAAGGAACCAGGAGGGTGGCTGTGCTGGATCAAATGAGAAAATAGGACTTTGCAGTCAGTGCAGGAAGAAAAGGGTGCTGAGGTGAGGCTGCAGATTCAGATACAAACTGGTCAGTCTCCAAGAGAGCGGTAAAACCACGCTCTGTGGGGCTGTCTTCTCCGCTGGACAGGAAATGAAATCATCGCCATCCCACTGGTATTGTCAAAGGTCTGAGCCCAACTTCATGGTACGAACTATGTTGCCTTTCCCTAGAGAGGGAGAGGACCATTATGCTTCTCAGACTTTATGAAAATACAGAGGGCTGGGCCCTGCCCCCAGAAATTGAGGTCTTGGGCTGAGTCTGAAAATTTGCATTTTAACAAGTTCTCAGGTGACACTGATGGTCAGCAACCCACACTTTAAGTAACACGGCCTTGGATGACATTGAAAGGTCATGCAGCAATCTTTTTGCTTCTTTCCAAGTTTTGAATAATTTTTCTTAATCCTTCCCTCCAAGTCCCCAAGGGAGAGCTGAGCCTCCACGTGAGGAAAAGCAAAGCAAGGCCAAGAGCACTTTACTCTTGCCTGAAGATGGAGTTCAAACCTGAAGGAAGAACTTAGATGGACAAAGAGAGGTTATTGGATGAGTCTTTTTTTCCTATACTCGGGAGATCTCAGTAGCACTGAACTAAAGCGGACCCTTGGCCATCTTTCCCCACATTCCTATTCGAGTCTCTGGTCTTATCATTGACATGCAAGAAAACGCTTATTCAAGCCACCACCACCTGTGACAGAGGAAAAGAAGCTATGGAGAGTGGGAGAAAGTAAATTCCTTCCAAAATCAGGAGCCACTCGGGTCGAGGCTGGCTTCCCAGGACCTACAGCTCGGTGCCACAGCAGAGAGGAGAGATTCCACAGAGGAGAGGAGAAGAGACAATCCGGCATTCGCCCACGGGCGCTGTCCTGACCCTTCTGACTCTTCCGGTTTCAGGGGATACGGTTGTCAGATAAATTACAGGACACTTGACTAAATTTGAATTTCAAATAAACAATGAATAATTTTTAGTCTAAGTATGCCTCAAATATTACATGGGACAACACTAAAAACAAAAGTATTCATTGTTTATGTGATATTCAAAATTAATCGGGCATCTTGTGTTTTTATTTGATATTATAATAATACCAACTTTTTTGGCTATTGGGAGGATTAAGTAAGATGATGAGATGTGAAGTATTTAAAACATAGGAAGCATTGATACCTGTTACTTATTAACATCTCTCCAGTTGCACAGAAGCTAAATCTTGGAGAAAGTAATTTGCCAATACTGAACAGCAGGTGTTATGGGCTAAATTGTGCCCCACCCCAAATGTATATGTTGAATCCCTAACTCCCAGTACCTCAGAATATGACTGTATTTGGAGACAGGGCTTTGAAAGAGGTGATTGAGTGAAAATGAAGCCGATAGAGTGGGTCCTAATGCAATCTGATGGTGTCATTATGAGAAGAGGAGATTTGGACACAAAAAGAGGCACTGAGAATTTATGCACACAGAAGAAAGACCATGTGAGGACACAGGGCGAAGGTGGCCATCTGCAAGCCAAGGAGAGAGGCCTCGGGAGACGTCAAATCAGCCGACACCTTGATCTTGGACTTGCAGCCTCCAGAACTGTGAAAAAATAGATTTCTGATGTTAAGCCACCCAGTGTGTGGTATTCTGTTATGGCAGCTCTAGCAAACTAATAGAGCAGGTAAAGAGCCAAGTTGTGGTTCAAACTCAAGGGGTCAGGCACCAAAGGTTAAGCAGTAATTAGCCATTAGACAGGACAACCTAAAGTGGGAAGTCAGCATGGATTTATCTCAACATCTCAAATGAACTGTCCACTGTGACAATAAATCTCTTTCCACCATGCCCACTCTCTACTCATCACTATCTCCTCTAGGGCTCACACTCACTGTCCGGGTTGATTCTTCAATCCAGATCATCCTCTGCTTCACCTTCACCTCCCTGGACATTTCCTGGCAGCTAAAAACTCTTACTGATAATGACTGGAGTTATTGTCTGATGTTTCGCGGTTCTCGGAGTAGTACTCAATTAGCAGTCACTGTGCTGCTGCTACAGCTTGATGCAGGGCAAGGAGCCTGTGAGTGACTGAATGAATGGTGTCCACCTGGCTCTTGCTCCCAGACTTCTCCAGTACCTGGCTGTCCTTTTACCTAGACTGCCATGCAGTTCCTACCAACCCCACCAGGGTGAAAGGTCTGTGTTTGGACCTTACTTTTCTTCTTCTTTTTGTTTTTGTTTGTTTGTTTGTTTGTTTGTTTTGTTGTTTTATTTTTTGTTAATCCTCACCTGAGGATATTTTTTTCCCATTGATTTTTAGAGCGAGTGGAAGGGAGGAGGGAGAGAGCAGGGCGGGTGGGGGCAGAGAGAAACATCCATGTGAGAAAGACACATCTAATGGTTGCCTCCTGCATGTACCGTGACCAGGACTGGGGATCGAACCTGAGAGAGAGAGAGAGAGAGAGAGAGAGAGAGAGAGAGAGAAGGAAGGGAGGGAGAATTGCAGGTAGTGCCCATATATTCTCATTGGGTTGATCAGTTTTTTATAAGATCAGATGCTGTTACAGGCAACAACATAGACAGGTTTTCCCTAGCCTTACCAATATAAATATGCCTAAAGGCTATCCATGAAACATTTCCCATTAAAGTTGTAAATAAAGTCTCAATAGAATCTTGAATGTTATTACCTCTTGAATTACAATCCAAAGGGTTAGACATGGAGAAATAAGCTCTCATCATATGTTTGTTGTTATGGTCATCAGACCCGTCTTCATCATCATTGTTACTAGGGAAATGTGAGAAAAGATGAAAATCTGACTAACATGGAAATAATGGGTCACTTTGGGAGTTGAAATTACTGGTGCTTTTCATTTTTTAACTCTAGCTAATGGACATGCATTTATTTTTCTAATAAGAAAAGAATAGAGAAGTTACTTTTTAATGTTAATAAATGTCCTTTTGGGGTTCCCTTCAGCTCGCACTGGTTAAAGCTGTCTTCCTATTTCTCACTTCTTTCTGCCCGGAGAAGCACCCATAGCAGTGGGTCCCTAACAGCCCCTTCTTCAATGGTATCCACAGCTTCCTAGGAGTCTGGAAGTGGCAGAGAACAAAACAATTCCCTCCCACCCTGATGATGCCCAGATTTCCACAGCTTCTCTAGCCACCAGACAGGAACATGGGCTCCAGACTGCCTTAGTTACACCAAATGTGGAGCAAGAGTACTGACTCCAACCAGAGCCAGATGTAAGGAGGCGCCAACCGTGCATGTCCTCAACGATGCTGAGACCAGTGCCACCCCCTGTTCTGCATCCTAGGCACCTCACTCCTCTCCCCCTCATGCCAGTCGTGAGCCCAACAGCACCATGTCCAGAAAGACAGCCAGAACCCCAAGCAGCTCCCACCACATCCCTCCCCAACCCCTGGGAGAGAAAAAGGGTTTATCAGACAGTTCTGGGGACACTGCCTAGACACCTAACAGAACAGTTAGAGTTCAAAACCCCGAGGTTGGGTGCACCGGAGGGCACAGGCCAGCCTTGGGCTCTGTTCCACATGGAGACAGTGTTGTCCTATTGTGTCCAGTTCCTGGAATGATGGCCCCTCTGGCACTGTCAGCCTGTCCGACAAACTGCACAGTGCGTGCCTTTTCCCTGCCCACAGGGTTCTGCAGGGGGCACCTGGGGCCAAACCAAACAGCTCTCCTTGCCAGGAGCTGAGCTCATCACCTGCGTCCTCCACAAAGGGGCCCGGGGCCTCTATTAGAACTGAACTTCTCTTCCCCTCTCTCAGCTACACAAAGATCTGTGATACTATTTCTTCCAGGGCCTCATAGAGCAACCCCACCCGGCCATAGCTCTAGGCTGCCTGCCAGGACAGCAGCCCCTTTCAGGAGCCCTCAGGCCCCAGAGCTGTGCTTCTGGCTTCTTCTATGGTCTTTTTGGTTTGTGTAGGTCAATATAATTTTTAGTGTTGAAAGCAGTGGATGATTAATTTCTGCTAATGATTTTCTGCTTTGCCCCCTAAACTCCTTTCAGTAATTCCAACTATCGTTTCACATTAAATGACTCAGTGCTTCACTTGTTTGCCTAAGGAATTCCCTGCCTGGCTTATCTCTGTGGCTCCCTGAGACCTCCCTTTGTCCTCAACCTCATTCCCCCCACTTCTTCTCTGACATTTAGGGTTTCTGAGCCTGCTTTTCTGGCTTCCAGCACTGTCCATGTTCCTGCTCCACATGCCACCCCCACTCCTGGAATCAAAAAAGGAAGTCTGACACGAGGTGCTGGAAGTGAAGGCGCGGAGTCTGAGTTGCGGGTGTGGTGGTCAGCGGGATGCTCAAAGGCGAAGGGGAAGGGGAAGACCCGGAGGCAGAAGTTCGGTTACAATGTTAACTGGAGCGTCTTAACCGGAATGCTAGACGGATGGCATCGCCACAGATGGGGTAGTGAGGCAGCCGGGGTTCAGGAAACAGGGCCTGTCCTTGACTGAGACTTCCTGGACCGGAGAACTGGAGCCTGGATTTATGGCAAGGAGGGAAGTCACTGCTGTTGGAAAGAAGAGCTTAGTGTTTTTACATAGATCCTCTCACTTAAAACCCACAGAGGTCTGTAGTTTTCTCTTCCTCTTACAGATAAGAACAGGCTTGAGAGGTGTCAATGGGGGGTTTGTAGTCAAGTCTTTCCAACAAGTAAGCCTAGGCTTTCACTTAATGTCCCTCTCCTTGGCTCCTGAAGGCAGCCCATCCATTCCACACCATCAGGACACTAGGCTGGAACTAGGCCGTCCCAGAAAGCCCTCCCCTATTGGACTCTGCCTCCATAGACTTCAGCACAGCCTCCTGGATGTAGTCTGCAGCCGAGCTCCTGAGGGCCTTTGTTTTTGGCCTTGTAACTTTGATCCTTCATAGCATCCCAAATTCAGGCCTTTGACTAGGCTGTCCCCTTACCTTGTTTCTTTACCCAGTTCAGGTGCCAATTTTAGGAAGCTTTCCTTACCACTGCTTCCTGCTCCCAGGCTGTGGAAGTGTCCTGTAGTCCCAGTGCCCCAGATTTCCTGTTAACAATCCGATTACAGCCATAACTGCCTTTTAATCTGCTTGACATCCCCTACCAGACTGCATGAGAGCAGGGACCTTGCCCAGAAATCCTGAGCCTGGCCCAAGGCAGGTGCTGGTGGAATACATGTAGAATGACCGACTGCGTGGCCCTTTGGGCACACAGAGTTCTGAGATTTTTATTGGCACCTCTCTGCGGAGGACCTGAAGGCTGTGTCTGAC